TATATATATATATATATATTTTATTTAAGTCTCAGAAACAAATTACAGCATGGCTACATTCAAGGAAGCCTATTCTTTAAACACATGTAAAGTAGATAGTTTAAAGAAATTAAAGCAAAACACAGACAACAAACACCAAAATTTATATCGCACGATGAAGGACACCAAAAGCAGTATAAATAAATTAAATATTAAAAAGATAAACACACTACAAGCCCAAATGATGTAAGCATAGGTGATTAATTTTATCTAATGTCTTTCCTTTTCTGTTCTTAATATCTCCGATGGGGTTAGCGTTTCTGTTTCAAACGTGGAAAAAGCGTGAACAATCATTAACGTTTTACAAATTCAGTGTTTCTTGGATATGTGACTTCCTTCGTACAGTCCGCAGAATTGGGGAACTGGTTATGGTAACCATATGCAGTACTATGGGAAATGATAGCCAATTAATACATGTCTAATATAATATAAGTGATTTATAATTTAAGATGACATTTTACTGACAATAAATTCAATCTCACAATTTTTCAATGAACTTCCAATTAATGTCTTAACTACTATACTGGGATCAATGTAGTGTTCTTCCATGTTACATTTCGACATAAAAGTCTTATATATTATAGACTCAAGATTTAAGCTATTTTTAGTCGTCAGAAAAAATTGAAGATCATGACTCTGGAATTAAATGACAAACCAATATACAGCTTCATAACACTTAACATAGTAAATATTGCTGGTTGAGGTAATTTGCAGCAATGCAGCGATTAAATTAAATTTGAAACTTAAAATAACTGCAATTTATATATCAAATTACAGTGTCGTGGTGATACATTATCAAAATGCATTGCATTTAAATTAATTCCTCTCTTCCGATAATTTATGGTGACTGCAATCCATCAGGGATTGACATTATACAGACTGCTTGGTGTTGCATACTGAATTTCATGAAGGCGAATAAAATAAAGGTAGCACACTTGTAGCGATAATCAAATAGATACCATAAACTTGCTTTAAATTTGCGTTACCATTTAAACTGACCTCACTTCATTGCAGAACTTTAATATATAAATAGGCTACATGTTCTAACATATTTTACCAATTGAGTATCGAGCATGACTGCGGCAGTAAATACCACTGAAAAATCAAGTCAATGAAAAAGTAACAACGAAGCCGCTATTTCAACTTAATTCGAATTCGCTAAATACAAAAAAAAAGAAAAAAAAAAGAAAACAGAATTAATCGACACGGTATGGTTACTGAAGCACTTCAAACTCACATTGTTAAACGGTGTTAGTTCGTCAGATCGTAGTTCTTACACACAGACGCTGTACCTCGTTTAGCGTGGAGCCTTAGGAAAAAAAATTACTCAAGAGGTCTGGTCCAAAGAAACTCTAAAAAGTGCCTGGGAGAAAGTCTTGGAACAACGAAAGGCTAAAGTCTCCTTGCTAAAAATCCTCGGTTGTATTGAGCGAACGGAGCAATATGATTGGACGAATCGTTGACTGCATTGCCTCACGCTTCAGTAATATTACCCAGAAGAGTTAGCGGATATTCTTGACGTCACAGAAGTTGCAGCCAATAGCGCCTCTAAATTTTTCACATTCCATAATCGGATAAATCATTTTAAAAATTGGGTCAAAGAATATACGTAATGGGTCAAGAACTACATTATACTGTACATGATTATACATTATATTTTTAAATATAAAAGTGTCGCATGTAACCAATGGAATAGTGATTTATGAGAATCGGGGGATAGGCCTACAGCAGCATTTCATAATTGACCACTAAAATGAACCATTACCGTATTTCATTACCGTACTTACTTTAATATTCACAATAGTGATGTGTGCGCCTAAATTAGTGAGTCACACCAAAAATATATATAGGCCTATATTTTGCACAATGTTAATGATGTATATCAATGTTATTTTAGTTTTAAAATATGTACCCTCTGTGATTAGCTAATCAATTTCTAGAGTACAATTCAAATCATTGATGCTTTAAAATTAATATACCTATTACGAAGTCCTGAAACCGACCATTTTGTTTTGACAGCCTTTTTCAAAAAGGGCATTTATAACCTATAAATCCACCAAAAATGAAGATGGGGCACACTCTCACGTTGAAATGATGTATAGACATAGCAACCGTATACTTTAATAATAATAAGCCTTAATATAATTACGCTGGACAAGGCAGAAATATCCCAAAATAATTAGAATTACGTAATGTTTTTAAAATATTTTGAGGAAAAGTTTTAATATTTTTGAAGTGTGTTCAGCAATGTTAATGAATCGACAAGCGGTCGCATTCTTTATTCATGATTTATGGAAAGTACTGTAATAAATTCACTTTTACCGAACACGTAAAATCATATCTAATGCTATGGACAGAATGTAAATAGAATTTTAATTATGACCAGCATGTTATTCGCTATTATTGTTGTATACCTATAAGTTAATTATGCCATTTATTTATTGATTCAAACACAGTGACATTGATGTACAATAAAGAAGAATAGGACAATAATTTTTCCTCCAATCACACGTGTATACACTACAAAACTTCAAATAATGTAAGTAGTTAAACATAAAAGAAGGCAAAAAATAAGAATTAGGCCTATATTAGTTGTTAATTTTGAAGTCAATATATATATATATATATATATATACTGTATATATA